CTTTCCACGTTGCTTCTCGGCGCTGCGCCTGCTCTGTGGTCAGCCCCGAACTGGGCCAGGCACTCCTGCGCCGCTTCGATCGTCGCCCCGTCCGCAAGTGACGCCGCCACATGTGCGGCCCCCTCCTTGAGCGCCGTGCTGATCCTGAATCCGCGCGCCAGCGTCGCCATGTCGGTCACGCCTTTGACCGTGCTGATCTTCTGTTGCTGAGCTCCCCGCGCAACTCCGCTCACCTGTCCGACGCTGTCTCCTGCCTCCTGAATCTCCGCGCACGCCGCCAAACAGATTTGCGCGCGCCCTGGCCCCATCTTGGCCTCTGGGGACCTGGTGGCCAGTGGGCCCTTGAGAAACACCTTTCGCATGGCTGCCGCCGCCCTCGCGTGCGCCCTGCCAGCGCGTCACCCCGCCTGAACCACTGCCGCGCCCTCGCCCATCGCGAAGGTCGCGATGGCCGCCGCCGCCAGCATCCGCAACTGGAACGCGTTGCCGATGACGGCCCGCGCGAGAATGGGCATCACTCGGGCCATGGTCCGCGCGCCCATCTTCGGAGGAGGGTCGAGGGCGTCGGGCGCCGAGCCTTGCCGCTTGCCGATCTCAATCGCCGCTCCTAGCGGCTGCTGAGGCCGAGGCCCCCCCCTGGCCGCTGCGCGCTGTCTATGGGCACGGGGCGCCGCGCTGCCCCATCGTCGCACTCGCCCGCGCGGGCGGGGAGAAGCCCGCGGGCCGCTGCAGCCTCCCCCCGCGGGCCCCCCCCACCATCGCCGCGCCGAGAGTGACCTCTCGGCTTCAATCTGATCCGACCTCAGCTTGAACGCCAGCTCACTCAATGGCCGGCGCGCGTCGAGAGGGGGCGACAGGCGCGCGCGAGCAAATGCTTTCTCGGAGCGTTAACATCAGGAAGCAGGTTCACGCGCTGAAAAACACTTGGCCGCGCTGTGACGATCGCGAATGGCTACTGCCCAAACCGATGCAAGAGGGCGCGACAGGTTCGACGGCGCTCGAACTGGTAGCCCATGCGACTTCGACATACTCGGACACCGATTCCTGAGCACTGCCTGCAAAGCACACCCCTGTGCAATCTTCCTAATCCTGAGCGGCTGTCTGAGAGAGAAAAAAAAACCTCTGCGGCGGCCGCGCGCGCGATGGGCCGCGCCGAGCGCCCCGCTGCTGTAGATGCTCTGGTGAACCAGCGCGGCCTGACGCATCCTGAACTTCCGCCCGCAGACAAGCCCAGTCGAGCCCACGAGCTCGCATCTCCAAGTCGGGGCCGCCAGTGGGGCCTGCGTCAACTTGGCCCCTTAGGCCATGCTGCAGGGCCCCCCGAGTCCGGGAGGGAGGCGATCGCCGCCGTTGGCTCCGCCGCGCTGAGAAGGCAGCTGCCCACTCGCAAAAACCGATCACGAGCATCAGGGTCAACGAAAAAGGTGCGAACATGGAGTCGAAGCGCGTCGGGTAGAGACGAGCCCAGCAGATATAGCTCCGCGAGAGAATCCTGCTTCCCACGGGGGGGGGGGGGGGGGCATGATCACCGTCGCCAGGCCCGAGAGAAGCGCCCTGGGCCGCCGCCCCGAACGCCGTCTTCGCGAATCTCCAGGCCCTGTTCCTCGCCCAGCACTTGCCCGTTTGAGAATCCCCCCCCCCCCCCCCTGCGCGCAAGAATCGTTCAACTGAGCTCCCCGTGGATCCCCGCGCCCGACGCCGCGTGGATCCTCAGGGGGGCGCTGTTGAATTGGCCGCGCCCCGAGACAGGGGCAGCACCTCCGAGCATCGCCCCAGCGCGAGATGTCAATCCGAGCCCGAAGAAGGATCGCGCGATAGTGTTTCTGTCGGCTTTGCGAGAGTAGTCACTTACTGAGTAGTCCCCGTCAGCCAAGGCGTCTCCAAGCTCCCGGTGGGCGACCATTTAAGTGCGCTGGCCATTCCATGCCGCTCGCCCGATGCGCGCCCCGCTGACGTCGTCGGCATAGCTGCGACGCGGTAGAGATGCAGGCCTCTGCAGGAAAGGCACCCGCGCCGTGCACATTTCCTCCGGCGGGCAGAGATGCTGGCCAACGTTCGCAGGGGGGCAGAAGGAGCGCGAAGAAGCGACATCCATTCATCGTGGGAATTCGCACTTGGAAGGGGGTCCAGAGTCAGGCCGGGAGCAGGCGAGCAGACAGCCTGACGACGCGTGATCCGGGCGACTGAATGCACGGACGGATATATATATATATATATATATATATATATATATAATCAGCCGTGGAGTCCCCCATGGACGCCCCGCGTAAATTCGTCGGAGAGCACCTCCGATCTGCTGCCTGCGCCACGAACGCACTCGCCCCGTGTCTCCGGCGAAAAAATAACCCAAAGGTCAGCGCGCAGTCGGCCCCCAGGGGCCGGAACGCCCTCGCATTATTTTTGGTATCGTCATCGTTGCCATCACCGTCGTTTGTCTACAATCAGAAGGATGAAACTGCACAAACTTCAAACATAATACGTTGTTATACGGCACAAACAAGTTGCGGCGCAAACTGCTACGACTCCTGCGCAGTGCTCCTGAGCGCCTCAAACTGGGTGCAACTGACCTCGTTCGAGATGCCCTCGTCGGAGTGACGGGCGCGGCGCCCTCGGGCCTCGGCCCCCAGGGGGGGCGAGCTTCTAGGCGCGCGAGCGCGCCATCCAGATTGCGCCCAGTCAGGCGCCCGCGTTCTCGATCAAGTTCTACGCCAGAGATGCCGCGGACCAACTGGGCCTAGCACGCGGCCCCTCCCGTCCTTCAAGGCCCGTGAATGTACCTGGCGGCATTGAACCCCTCCGTGCCGTGCTGTTGTTTGGACAGCCCCGTGGCCCCTGAGTAGCGCCAGACCGCCGGCCCCCCCCCCCACCCTTCGGGCGCGGCGGCCCATCCTCTGGAGGTCCTTGAGGGGGCGCTCATGGCTGAAAAGCGTCAAACCCTAGACCCCCCCGACACTCGCGCGACGACGACGGGAAACGGACTCCTGAGGAACTGGCCTCGGACGACGCCGGGGCGGTTCGGGCCCCCCCCGCCATTTTCTCGGCGGCGCGTCTGGCTGTTAGGGCCGCCAAATCTTCAGCTGGGGTCGACCGCCAGCTGAAGAACCCAAGATGGCACGCTGCGCAGCGGGGCCGCCTTCCTCCCCGGAGACCTCGCAAGCGGCTCAGACACCTGTGCCAGATCGCCCCTCACCTCCTCGACGCGGGCGAACTCACTTGCCCCTCCAGAGCGGAGGCGGAGGCGGGGGGGGGCCCGATATCCGCCGTTGAAGCTCCAAGAACTCAACGCGCGCGGCCTGCAGGCCGCCACTGAGCCCATCTTTGGAACAACAAATGCTCTTAAATGTCATCCTTCCGTGGGGCGCGCTCATCTGGGCCATTGTGCCGCCATTTCTCTGTCCCTCTACATTGGCCCGCAAGCAGGTGCGCCACTCTCCAGACCTCGGCGCGCTTCTGAGACTTCCAGGCGGACGCGGTCTCCTCAACGAGCAGGGGCGGCCCCTCCTCGAACCGATGCCTCCGTAGCTGGCGAAGTTGCTCAGAAGCGCGAGCGAGCCCCATCGTCGCCGTCAGATATTCACCCACCGAACTTCTCGTAGAGCGACGCAGCGAGAAAAGCCTATATCTCTAGCTTGCCCGTCTCTCTCCGATTGCCTGCCAACGTGCTCTCTGCGGTCGCATAGACGCGCGCGACCCGCACCTGCCAAACCTCGCGCAGAGTAGACGCACAAACAAGCAGCTCGTCGAAGTCGAGACCCGCGAATTGGCTCTCCAGATTGCGAATGACACCCCGGCGCCCCTCTTGACTGCCATCGCAAGCGTATGTACATCCCACGGAACACCCTCTGAGCGAGACCACGACATGTCGAGAACGTACGCGATGCGCAACAAGATCGACACGCGGTCTTGCGCCATCTTCTTTCTTGCGAGTCTGAACCGCTGGCTCGCAACCCGAAGATCTGCACACCTTTTTGTTGCCGAATCACACCGCTCGGAAACCGCAGCGTAACCCATCGCACCCGAACTGCCACGACCGAGGGATACCTCGCCACCCTTGCAATCCACGAAAGGCGCTCGCATAACAAACCTCCCAAGAGTACCCAAGACTGTGTGGTCTGACAATTACTGCTCTCCACGACCATGTACACCAGGCGCCGCCGAACAAATGGGGACGAATCCTGTACCTGAAACTCTCTGCACCCCGAACGAATCTAGCAAATCGACACCGAAGAACACAGCCACCGACTATATGACTACGCGCAACTCTTCTCCATCTAAGAAAAGCATGCAGTCGCCGGTTGCCCTCTTTTGCATATTCAGTCGACGCTATATTTTCGGGTTTCCCCCGACGGGCGGGGAACAACATACGTCATAGGCGGCAGTAAATTAATTCGCCCCGATCGAACAAAATGGAGCGCCACGCGACCGTGCACATGCCTGGCACGGGAAAGGGAGTCGAGTATGTGTTTCCGACGAAGCTTAGCTCCTCAAGAGCAGGGTGAGACCGCACAGCAGATTTACGTGCCTTCTTGCAAAAACGGAAAAAACTCTGCGCAATATGGTGCTTCAGATGTGTTGGGGCCAAGGTAAACTGACGAGCGCACTCACCTGCCGAAGGTAAAACCACGATGTAGACATGCTTGCAATCGTCCAAAATCTCATGCGGTCGCAGTCCGTCAGCAGCCGCCATACAGTTCCAATTGATGTTTGACAACATGGTTGCGGCGATAGCTGGCCGCGGGGCCATCAAGCCAGAGGCGAGTCCAATATCGGAGCATGCTGGAGTTGTCCTGCCCCTGTGTGCGCCATGCCTGGGCTGGGGGGGCCAGGAAAAAGAGGAGGAGGAGGAGGACGAGGAGGAGGGGTAGGAGGACGAGAAGGAGGAGGACAAAGAGGAGGAAGCGGAGGAGGAGGAGGAGGAGGAGGAGGAAGAAAAGGAGGAGGAGGAGGAGGAACGCGAGGACGGCGAACCCGCCCGCCCGCCCCAGCCCGCCCGGGGCCGCCTCCAGGTCCGCCTCGGGCGCGGGCCGCCCTGGGCCGCTGCAGCTGCGGCGTCTGCCAGACCGGCCGTGCGCGCCCTGGGGCCGCAAGAGGGGAGGGGAGGGGGGTGCCCTCGTCGCCGGCGGCGGCGACGAGGGCCCAGACTCGGCGTCGCTCGGACGCCCACGCGGGCTTACGCGCCATCGTCCTCCTCTCGAGGACAAACCACTGTGTGAGCATGGCTTCTCTGAGGTTCGCGCGGATTTTTGGGATCAGCGCTGGGCTCCCCTACCTGGTGCGAGCGGTGCACCAGGGGGCGGCGCGGGGAGTGCTGCCAGGGGGGCCCAGCGTCGATCCAAGACATCAGCGCGCGGACCTCCGACCACTTATTTCGCCAGCGCTCCGACGTACATTCCCCTTGCATGTGTCGGATTCGTGCGTGTGCTTTCTCTTGGCTCGATGATCCAAGGTGCCCCCGATGGTCCTCGCCGAGAGCAATTGCACGCGTCCGAGCGATGCCAAGCAGATCACCGAGAATCTATTTTGTCGGCGGCGAGCCTTGGGGGGAAGTGAGCAAGGCGGCGACCCCTAACCCAGGTTTCGAAGGGTTTTCGAATGGACCAGCAAATTACGGCCCATCCCTGTGATGTACGATGGAGGGGGCGTCCATCCTCGATACAGGTGCGTCCGCATAGCCCCCTCGTGGTGTATCCCAGGGTTCCCCTGCTTTTCTGAGCGGCCTCATTGTTTGTCGAGAAAGCGGGGGCTGGCGGAGAAAAGTCGCGTGCGAACGAGGATCTGTTGTTCGGCGGCGAACCCAAGGGTAAATGAGAAGGGCCAGACCTTCTCGGAATGACACGGGAAACCTCTCTAGGAAGGCGCCAGGGCTTCTGAGAAGCCCCGCCAGAGTCTGAGAAGGCCTTCTCCTTCTCAATCCCTTCCCGTGCGCGCCGCCATGTTCTTATAATGCTGGCGATTTTGTTGTTCTAGGCTTCGGCCACCAGGGCCCGTCACTCGGCCCCCGGGGCCATCAAAAGGGGACCGCTGGGCGCAGAGAACAGCCCCTGGAGGAGGGTCGGACCCTCTGGGGCCGCGGCTTGCAGAAATCCTACCCAAGGATGTTCTGAAGAGGACGACAGAGACGACGCTGGACGGCGGCGTCCTCCGTGATGGGCCAATTTTCCACCACCGCTACCATGTGCAGGCCGGGGAAGAAGGGGAGATGAGGAGGTCCTCCTCCTCCTCCTCCTCCTCCTCCTCCTCCTCCTCCTCCTCCCCCCTCTCCTCCTCCCGGTCCTCCTCCTCCTCCTCCTCCTCCTCCTCCTCCTCCTCCTCCTCCCTCTCCTCCCTCTCCTACCCATGATAGCTGTGGTGGAAGGCCGGCCCATCACTTCGGGGCCGCGGTGTCCGCGGCCGCAGCCGCGAGAGAGCCACGAGGAGGGCGGCGGCAGGGCGAGGGGGGGAGACGGGGAAGGAGGAGGGCGAGGGGGACGAGGGCGGGAGGGCGAGGGGGACGAGGGAAGGAGGAGGGCGAGGGGGACGAGGGGGGGGACGGGGAAGGAGGAGGGCTAGGGGGCGAGGGGGGCGCTCGCGCCATGTCTGACATCCTACCCCTCCCACCCATCCCGTCGCACTGCACCGAGCACCTCCCATGCGCCGTCGCTGCGTACCTTGAAGGAGAACCCGTGGGTGCGCAGGCAGGAGGGGACAAGGAGGAAGAGGGACATTGGAGAATGAGGACGACCGAACGAGGACGAGGCCGAGAATGAGGAAACGGACGAGGAGTGGATGAGGACGAAAGAACGAGAACGAGGAAAAGGACGAGGACGAGGAGAAGGACGAGGACGAATGATAACGAGGACGAACAGCAGCAGGAGCTGGAGTGAAAGACGCGAGAGGAGCAGGAGGACCAGGGGAAGACGGAGGAGACACACGGGGGCGACAGGCCTCGTATCCAGAAGCGTGGCCCGCGCTGGAGCGAGAGCGCCGTTCCGAACGACGGCAGCAATACGCCGCCCCGAAGCTGAGGCCCACGCGGCAGCGGGAACACCATGTCGAAACACCGAGAACACTCGGAGTGCTAGCCACAAATCATAAAGAACAACTATTTCTGCAACTCCGTGAAAAAAACGATACGCAGAGAGGGCAACACATCTTTGGGAAGGGATCAGAACGAGAGGAGAGGGGTGGGAGAGAAGATGGGCGAGGAGGGAATGATGAGGGATGTAGCAGGAGAGAGGAAAGAGGAGGCAGGAGGAGAGAGGTAGGAGAGAGGGAGGAAGAGGAACATAACAACTGCATATGTGATGAATGAGATACCGCGCATGCCACCCCACGAGAGCCACCAACTACAATGCCCACAACCATGGATACCATACCCTACACATGCCAGCCGTAAACAGCTCATAAACATTACTTCTCCGAGGTCCGCGCGGATTTCTTGGATTAGCGCTGGGCCGCCCTAACTGACGCGAGGGGCGCGCCAGGGTCAGCGCTGGAGGTGCCGCCGGAGGGGCCCAGAGTCGATCCAAGAAACATCAGCGCGGACCACCGAAAATTGATCTTGCCATCGCTCGGGCATCCATTCCCTGTACATGTTTCGTAGTCGTGCGCCTATTTTCTCAGCAAGATGATCCAAAATGCTCCTCGATGGTCTTCGCCGAACAAGATGCCCACGCCCGAGCCCTGCAAAGTTTCTGTTTATGTCATTATGGCGCTGCTTCTCTTGAGACTTTGGCGAATTTACTCGCCTGGCCCCCCCGCCGTCCGCCGCCGTTCCCAACAACGCTGTGCCGAACAGGCGAATAAGAACCGTATTCCGTGTCGGACCTCACCACGCTCCCCCTCCCCCCTCCATTCGCCGGCGCGCACGAAAGGGAAAATGGGGAGGGGGAAGGCTTCCTAGAATGAGGCTGCCTCTTAGGAGGCGCCGTCCTTACACACCCATAGAGGAAGCCCCTGCACCTCATGAAACGCAGGGGTGAGGCCATCCCCCCTCGCCCTACCCCCATTCTGCGGGTGGCCAGCCTGTGCACAAACCTCCCTTCAGTACACCTCCCCTTAATGAAAACGGCTTGAGACCGAAACCGACGGACCGGGACCCGCAAAAATGACGGCCGCGACGCCCTCTCGCAAACCGAAAACGGCCAATTCCTGAATCGACGCGTCAGGGTAGGAGGTCTGTCCACCCCCGAGTTGAGTGGCCCGATGGATGGCGCCCGTGCCGACGACGTCGTCGCCGTCGTCGCGCAAGCCGCGCCGTCGTCGAGCGGCGGCGGGCGGGAAGCTGCGCAGAGAGACGGCGCGCCGCCGGCGCGGGCGCCTGCTGCTGATCGGCACCGCGCCGGCTCCTCTGGCCGCCAGGCGGGGGCATCGAGGATGCCAGAGCGAGAGCATGGAGCACTGAAGGCCCGAGGCTACTCAAGGATGCCAGAGCGAAAGCATGGAGCACTGAGAGCATGGAGCACTGAAGTGTGTACATGTAGTTTCGTTTTGATGTCATGCTACAGTAATGTGGAGATTCCTTCGTAAAGAACTCCATCTGGGCCGCGTGGCCGCCGCCGCCGCCTCCGTGCTGGTGGAAGAGGGAAGAGGATGGAGGGGAAGGGGTGTTGCGAGGGTGTTGCGGGCCAAAACGGATCACGACGCCCTACGGTTTCGTGCCGTCCGAAATTCGGGACGCTTCGGGCCGTCCCCGAGCCGAGCCAGAAAATCCAGGAAGCCCATACAGGGGCTGATTGGTGGTGGGGCGTAGCCCAGGTCCACAATCGATTCAGCCTACCCCCGATCACCCTTTGGGCCCAAGGGCGACATGGGGAGACAATGCCCGTCCACCTATCGCGGGCGAGTTGTGCACACCTGCGACAGAAAACATAAGCCAGGCGGGACACGAATTCGTGTCCCACCCCATGCGCTTTGTCGACCCTGACTCCCCCCCAGTCCAGAGCGGCCCGAGACGGGAGATCAGAAGCCAGGGGCGGGGCAAGAGTGGCAAGGGCCCCTGGGGCTCCTCCATCCTCGCCCGCGGCCGCCGCTGGGGCCCCAAAAGATCCCAGGAGATCCGGAAGGGGGGTCGGGGGGTCGAGTCCGTCGGACCTGCACCCTGTTCAGTATCGACAATATCTCGGCCGAGGACAGGACCCCGTCATAGGCGGTGAATGTCAAGGTATTTCTTAACGAAGGCTTCCCTAATCCAGAGGTGCAGAGCCCCCTGTCCAGCGAATTGATCAGCTATTCGATTACCTTCCCACCTCGCGCGCCTGATCCCTTCGCGCTCGGCGCGCGACGCGTGGGCTTTCACTTTGCATGGCGGCGCCGCGCGCTGGCTCCATCCGCCAAGGTCGGCGATGGCATCGAAAATGAACTCCCAGAGGTCCAGGCGCGGGCGGCTCTCCCCGTCGAGCCAGGGCGGTCCTGCCAGCACGCCGCCCAGCACCGCCCGGCAGTCTGCGTGAGTTCTCCTGGGCGGGGTCCCCACTTTGAGCGCCTGCAGCAGCGTGTAGAGCTCCGCCTCAAGATGCTCTCGATCCACTGCGCATGTGGAAGAGGTCAGTAGCACGCGTGGTCCATCTTGAACTCGTCGCTGTCGTCCTCCAGCCTAGCGGTGCACCAGCCCCCCATGGAAGCGGAGCGCGATCGCCGAGCTGCAGCGAGCTGCCACGTAGATGTCCCCCGTCGCCAGGCCGCCCCAATTGCCTCGGCGAGCCAATCGTCGAACGACGCCAAGTCTCAGAGGCCGAGCTCGACAACGGGGTCTGCTGTGATACCTCTCCCTCGTAGTCCTTCAGTACCTGGGCCAGGCCATGGGTTTGCTCCTCCTTGTTGAATGCGCACGCCTCCAACAAGATCTCGATGATGCTGACCGGCTGGGCACGCGCAGGTGCGATGTCGAGCGGTGCCACGCGCTCGCCCGCAAGCTCCACAAATATCTGGTGGTGCCGCCCCTTTGACATGAAACCGCGCCTGAGGCCGTGTGCACCCGCAGAAAAGTCCACAAACTCTTGTGCAGCGTGCCTACGCCCAGCGGCTATTGGGCGGTCGCAGTAGTAAAGACTGTGCCAACTCCAGGAAGATGGCGTTGATGCAGTACTGGTGGCCGCGCTGCTCTACCCTCTCGTTCTTCAGCTGCTTCTCGGTGGTGGTCACGACGTGGTGCTGTCCCCCCTGCAAACTGGTGCAGCGCAGGTCGCGTGCCATGCCGTCGATCGTCACCGAGTGCGCTGGCCGCGTCGCCCAGCCAGGGCGCCCCGACGTCGCCGCGAAAGCGCCAGCTGGCCCCCGTACTATGAGTCACGGAGCCTTTCACTTTGAGATCTTCATCGCCCAAGTGCGCCACGCGATGTGGAGTTTATATAAGACAGCTGCATGTCCTCGAACGCCTCCTGCCACGCCGTCGCCCCAGCCAAGCTGGGGCTGCTGTTGGCCAGGTGGCCTGGGTCGACCCCGTCGCTGAGCGGCGCGAGGGCAGTCGACCTGCCTTTGGCGTTGCCCTCCATCGCCGTCGCCACTCTCTTCCCCAACTCGTTGAGGTTGGAGTCCGCCATGCCGACGGTGGACGAGCCGTGGAGGAGCGCGGGCACCTTAGCGTGTCTGACCAGCTTGTGGGCCGCTCCTCCTGCTCCCCGCGCGGCTGCCATCCGTGCCTTTCGCGTTGCTAACTTGAGCGCGCGCTTGCCAATGGCTGCCGCTCTGTGTCTGCATGCTGTAACTGCGACTCCAAGGTGCTTCCCGTGCTTGACGACCCGAGGCGCCTGGTGATCACGTTGATGTGCTTCCCGAGCACGGTACTGGAGGTCCGGGCGAACGTCTTCCCCAACGCGCCTTTTGAGACGGCCATGTCCAGCTTCGCCTCGAACATGTAGATCACGGCCGCAATGAGTAGTGGGTGGGAGTGCTCGACGAACTCGCGAATGCCGTGCGTGGCCATGGCGAGGTCGTCGAAAAACAAGCATGTGTCCACCCACGGGAAGTGGTTCACTAGCTCGTCCAGCTCCACGATGGTCACCATCTTGTGGCAGAACGGCGCGTACCTGCTGCCGGCCACGATGCCGCGTTTCCAGGCTCTGCCCTCGGTGTAGCACCCGTCCAGGAAGATGCGTCTCACCATGCTGTAGACTCTGAGGACGACGCGCATGATGATTGGCTTAAAACCCCGGCGCATGGCCGACTCCCAGACCTTTCGCTGTGTGACCCACTCGAAGCACTTGAACAAGTCGAAGTAGATCACCGCGTGTTTGTGGCCGTCGGCGCGCGCGGCCTCGCTCTACAAAGGCTGCAGACACGCCAATCTCTCCGACAAGCGCCCTCGCCGCGCCCAGTTGTAGGCTCTCGTGTTGGCCGCCTCCACGCGCTTGGCGTAGAGGACGCGGATGGTCACCCACACGCGCGACAACTCTGGGATGGGAACCATGTTACGGAAACCCACAGCGGCCATACGCATCAGATTGAAAAGGATGGTGGCCGGCGCTGTGGGCCACGGCGCAACTCGCTCCACCGCGTTCAGCACGCTTGCAACGCGCGCAACACTTCGATACCCGCCATGCCTCCACAAACGCGGGTGCCAGTCTGCATCTGTAAGGCCTGTGTCTGGGCGGAACCGCCGGCACGCCTCGATGATGTCCTTCGGTGTGGTCCTCGGGACTGCCTGCTCTAGCCACTCGGCCGCGCTGGGCGCCCGGCACCACGGCTCGTCGGCGTCGAAGGTGTCCGCCCAGACTTCCTCCCAGCCTTCCAGCGTCGCGTCCGCTGCCCTCTGCGGGTGGGTTCGCTCCAGCTGGTCGCGGCGCTCGGTCGGCCTGATCGGCTCCGGAGGAGAAGGGGTAGAGGAGGAGGAGGAGGAGGAGGAGGAGGAGGAAGCAACGATAGGGGGAACCTGGAAAGGATCGACCTGGAATCCGATGGGGCCCCGATGGCCCCGATGCCGATGGGCCAAATCAGCGATAGGGCCCCGATGGCGAGTCGGCGTGTTCTTGGGCAGGGTCGGCCTATCGGGCTCCCGTCGGCGTTGAATGAGCAATTGGAGCTCGATGCATCTATCCCCCCCTGAGCCCGTCTCCGCCCTCTCGCTGCCCCTGACAGGGGGGCGTGTCGGGGTGGCCGCGTGCAGGTGCACCTGCCGGTCACCACTGGCGGCGAGCGTACCCATATCCAGGCCATCGCGGTCTGGATACCAAAGCGCGATCCCGCAGAGACGCGGTCGCACGGGCTTGGCTCCCGCGAAAGATGCCCCATGCCCGTGGGGTCAAAGCCCCCCTGCTGAGTCACCTGGGAACTGATTATTCCCCCGCGGCGGCCATCGCTGACCATCGCTGATTACCGCGATGATGATGATGATGATGATGATGATGATGATGATGATGATCCACGCGCCTGAGAAGGTCTGGAGCTCCCCGCCCGTTACAGCCTTCCGAAGACTGGGCCTTTCCCTCTGGCGCTGCGGTCGCAAGGCCCGACCCGTGCCCGAGGCGCACTCGCAGACTCACCTGAAAGCCTGAGGCCACGCCAACCGCCCCAGCCAGAGGCAGGCGGTAGGCAGGGCTTGCAGCACTCACGGCAACTCAGCTCGCAACGGCTCGAAGTGCCACCACAGTGCGAAGGTCCCCTGGCCCCTGGCCGACGCAGGGACGGCTTGCACTGCGGTGCCTTTCGGAGGCGAATATGGCGGTCGGTGCGCCTACCACCATCGTTCATCTTCCGACTGGCGGCACAGAGCACAGAGCGGGCTGGAGCGCAGCAGCTGCGCGGGCCGTCGCGCCGAAACGCGCCAGCATCGACGTTCAAAAGATGCGCCTGGGGCGCAGGAATCGCCGCGGGGCAGCAACACGTCCTCTGGCCCCTGGCCACTCCGCGGACTGGTTGCTGCCCCCTGGCGCGGAGCCCGATCCCGTGCGCGGGTGAACCTACGCACCTGGTTCAGCTTCCGCTCGAGCGACAGCCATGCACAGAGCACCGAGCTAGCGCGAGCAGACAGCGAGCGCGCCGCCAAGGGCGGGCAGAAAGCACCTAACCACCAGCATCGCAACCGTCCCTAGGCGGAGCCCAGCTGGACTGGTGACGTTGCCGCTGGCGTCGGAGCCCGATCCCGTGCGTGGGGAAATCCTGCGCACCTGGTTCAGCCTCCGCGCTGGCAGCGCGCGAAAGAGCAGACTAGCTGCAAAGGGCAGCACCGAGCACAGAGCCATGCTGCATGACTGCGCCAGCATTGCAACACTTCCATGGCCCCAGGCCTCAGAGCGGGACTGGTTACATTGCCGCTGCACGGAGCCCGACCCCTTGCGCGAGCGAGCCTACGCACCTGGTTCAGCTTCCGCTCCCAGCCAGCTATGCACAGGCACCGAGCTAGCACAGAGGCAGACAGCAAGCTTGCCGCCGAGGCGACCGATACACCTGAGAGAGACGGGCGAGCGCAAGCAGCCCTCGCGCGCGAGAGCGGTGCCAAACACCATACCGTGCAGCAGCAGCTGCCCACAGCATTGCAACACCCCCATTGGCACCTGGCTTCACTCGGGTTTGGTCGCATTGCTGCTGGCAGCGGAGCCCGAGACCAAGTGCGAGCGAGCCCGCACCTAGTTCGGGCTCCGATGGAACGACAAGCGGCGAGAAACAGTGCGGGCAGCAGCTAAAAGGGAGGCCACCGCGAGGCTGCTAGGCTAGCCGCCGCCCACGCGCCTCCGCATTCGCCGAAGGGGCTCAAGGTCGCCGATGCCTCCCGTACCCGCTGGCTGTAGGCCTCGCTTGAGGCGGCTGAGCACCGCCTTCTGCCTGTCATTTTTTGGGGCCTTCGGGCACTCCACCGCGAAGCCCGCCATCCTCCGACTCTGGGTCCAGTAGCCGCACTTGACGCAGAAGAAGTGGTTCCCTGCGCGCCAGAGGTCGTGGGAGTCGTGCGTGTCGAACCCCCGCCACGGCGGCAGCTACGGCGGCGGCATCGCCAAGCGCGGGAGGCGCCCGCGCCGCGTCGCCGTTGCCAGCAGCCCCGCCGCCACCACCATCTGCGGGCCCAGCGTCGCCGTCGTCTGACCCCTGCGCGCCGTTGGCCTGGCTGGAGAGCACCGCCGCGCAGGCCGTGAGCAGCGCCGCGCCAGCCGCTACCGAGCCCGAGCCACCTTCTGAACCCGATGTCCATGAGCCTGCGATCGTCCCGCCCCGGCCAGCGCAATCCTGGCATGCCCAGAGGGTTTCGGTGCCGACCTCGAGCCACGTGCCGCGTCACCCGCGCGTCCTGCGTGGGCAATCTGGGAAATTGCAGTGACTGCGCCACCGCATCTTGCACCCATGCCAATCGCATCGTACGGCTGCGAGACCAGGCCCAGAATGGCCGTATTCGGCAGTCAGCTCGGCGTCGCCTTCCTGCATCGCTGCCCCCAACCAGCGAAAGACCTTTTCCACGGGCCGATCCTGGCGACGGCTCCGATCACGTACAGCATCGTCATTAGGGCGCAGCTGCGCTCCTTGGACGGCTCGCGCATCTGCGCTGTGATTGCCCCTGCGCTGCCACGCCGTGATGCGCTCCGCCCGTGCGTCCGCAAGCGTCGCGTGGGCCTTTCACCTTGTGAATGGAGACGCTGTCGATGCCGACGTCGCCGATGGCGTCACAGAACCTGGCCCACAGCTCGCGGTAGGGACGCTGCCACTGCAGGCACCTAGCCTTGCCTGCGGCGAAGCCATCCACGAGCAGCCGGCAGCCAGCGAAAATGCGCACAGGGGGGGGCAGCCCTGGATGCCCTCGATGGCCGCTGCGAGTTCTGCTGCGCCCGACTCCTGCGGGCATGGCCAGGGCAGCGGTCCGACGAGGCTGACCGCCTCGGCGTCGGGCCCCATGGCGACCACAGCCCAGCCGCCCCGAGCTGACGCGAGGGTCGGGCCCAGGACGCTGCCATCCGTGAGCAGGTCGCCCGCGAGCGGCTGCCCCGCCAAGTAGGAGCGCACCTCTTTGCGCGCCTCCCTGGACAGCGTGGGCAGCGGGAGGGGGCGCCAGCGCTCGGGACCAGAGCGGGTCCTCGTCGCCGCTGAGGCTGGCCATCGCGACGATGGTGCCGAAGTGGATGTCGTCGGGCGGCCGCCTCTCGTCGGCGCCTTCGCTTGCCATCCACTCTGCGCGACCGAGCTCGGTTGCAGGGCGCTGCCAGGCAAGGTGCCGCACCGCGCCATTCGCTGGGCAACCTCTGGGACACCGCGGGGATGATGCCAGCGGCCTGTCCTCAGCGAACCTCTGGCCACGGGCCACAGGCAGCCCACCAGCGCATTCTTGGCAGAGCTCATTCATCTGCTTGGCCGTCTGCGTGCTCAACCTCTTGCGGTGGAGGGTGCGACGAATGCTGGACAGCGCGCCCCCTCCCGCAAGGTGTTCCAGGCCTGGATGCTGACCCACCGCGCGCCAGAGTAGCCGCTCGTGGATCGCGGCCATGTGCTTGCTGAGAGTGGAGGCGCCCAGGGTCCTCAGGTCCAGCTGCTGCTGCAGGTCGTTGATGATGAGTCCTGGCCGCGTAGCTGTCCAACCCAGGCGGTGGCAGGCTAGCACGCATGCGGCTGCGGGCCCCCGCCCCGCCAGCGCCTCAGTGCCCCCCTTGGCCAGCATAGCGGTGGCGCCCGCGAAGGCGCTGCCCATGGCCCTCAGGCCCCTGCGGTCGGAGTTGAACTGCACCGCCTTGGCCCAGGCCACGATGGGGAGCGCCGCGTGGTCAAGTAGAGGGTCGGTGGCGAGCCGCTTGCTGAGGGGGAAGCTGAGGCTGAGGCTCTTGCCTGGCCCCCTGCCGCGGTGCACGGCATTCACCTGCCTCCTCCACTTGTTGGGCTGAGAAGAGGGCCAGCCGACCACGCTCAGGCCGTGGCGAGTAGCTGGCCGCAGCCCAGTGTTGGCCACTCGCGCCGCAGCTGGAGTCTCCTGCGAACGGACGGCGTGCAGCCTTTGCAGCTGGGCTGCTGCCTTCGCGCGCCGCATCTCCAGAACCACGAAGGTCTGGCCGTCTAGGCAGTAGTCCACCCCCAGGTTCTTGACCGAGTCCGCGATGGGAAAGGCCATGCCGCCCATCTGCTTGGCGACCATGGAGGCCAGCGCGGGCGAGCTCGCGAGCAGCTCGCTCTTCGCCTCGGATACCTTGCAGCCCAGCGCCTCCAACTGAACAGCCACTGCCTTGGTTGCCTGCGCCACGTACGCGGCAACCTGCGCCACTGGGCCATGACACCCAACACAGCAATCGTCGAACATGATCGCAAGGGTGACCCTCGGCTCCAATACCCGCCAGGGCCTCGCGTGCTCGTCGGCCAGCACGAGCAGGCCGCACTTGAGTAGCCGCCCCGCGTGCGAGCAGCCCGCGACGAGGCCCGCGTCCAGAAGGAAGGCCTCTGAGACGCTGCCATCGAGCATGAACCGCCGCTCGCCTGCATACAGGGCGGGGGTCATGCCAAGCAGCCCCCTCGGGTAGCTCGCGAGAATGCCGCGATCCTGGAAGATGGCCAGGTCGACAAGCTCGCACGCCTTCCGGAGGTCGATGAGCGCCGCCGCTGCGCCCTCACCTCGCGCATGTGCCGCTTCCGACCGCAGCGCTTGCCACCAGACGGCCTCCTCGGCCGCGCGCCCGCGGACGCCCCAGAATGCACCGGCGACGCATGGGTCGATCTGCGCGCCCCATCGCCGCGCCTCGGACTGCCGAACTCGGCTCCACAGGCGAGGGAGCCAGCCAAGCAGCCCTATGGGCCGAAAGCCGCCTTGGGGCTTGGGCAGCATGACCGCCGGCGAGTCGGTGATGAC